AAACGTGGGGGTGGGAGGAAAGCATGGGTATGAGATAGACCTGAACATGCTTTGGCTGGAAATTAGGAGGTTTCTAATCTTTAATACAAACAGTCTCTGGAACAGTTTCCTAATAACAGAAGTAAATGAAGAAAAAAAAAAAAAAAAAAAAAACAAACCCAGAACCCTAAACTGATGCTCAGCATGTTTATGAAGACATTAGAGGAGAAGGTGTCTGCAGCAGCAGGGAGCCGGGGGTCGGTGGAGCAGCGTGTGCCCTCGCACCCTCCCTGGCCCCCCAGCCCCCGGCCCCCCACCCCCCGGCAGCAGCCAGCGAAGCTGCGACTGCCTGAAGCCAAGATGCGCTGGCACAGGATTAGATTTAGGCAGCAGTCAGGGCTCAGATTCAAGGCCAAACTTGTACAGGGTTCTATCTGAATACTGAAAAAAAGACACACAGGATTTGGACTCAAGCTTTTCAAAAACCCTGCTACATCTCGCCAGTATCACCTGTATTTTTCCACCATTTTGGGTGGTTTTTGCAAGAGCTGGGCTAGATTCAAACCAGAAGCAAGAAACAGCTCTTTCTAGTTTAGCATCCAACTTGGAGGCAGATGTTAACTCTGAGCAGGGATTCATCTACCCCCACGAAATTGGAAAGAGGTCTGGGGAGAATGAGCTGTTTTTAGCTCCTGGAAAAAATGTCTCTTCCTACTGTTGCTGCTGAAGTCCTGTTCCTGTTTCCACAGCAGCCGCTAACGACAACCAGAGCATCTGACTTCAGGTACACGACAGGCGACCGCACCAGAGGGACTCCCCGAGCAGCCCCTGGACCCAACCACCGTACGGAAACGCTTAGGGATGAAGAGGAAGGAAGGATGATAAAACAAACACAAGCAAAGAAAAAAAAAAAGGCAGTTTTGCTGCTATGGTTATCATGAGCTGCCCTTTGCAAGGAATCAGCAGCAGAGGGAGAACGAAATATCTGTGAAAACTGGTGTATGCAGAGAGCGAGCCTGCTGGCTGGAATCACGCTTCTTGTTGAATCTGAATTTAGACTCCTTGGCGTGTTTCCAGCCCCCAATAAATCATGCCGTGTGGACAGATATTATGTCCCTTGTGCTACTAAAACAGCAAGCGGTCTGAAATAAAACGGCGGAGCCCGGAGCGTGCGGGAGATGAGGAAAGGAGGCAGCACCCGGCAGGACGCACCCCAGGGCTGCGGGCCCCGCCAGCCCCGCCGAGCTCGCCCCCGCAGCGAGGAGCGGGACGCAGAGCGATGCTCCCGCTGCTCCGGGAGAGGGGAGCTGCGACCTCGCTCGCAGAGATTGGGGCGGGGGGGTCACCCCGCAGAGAGAGGGGCGGGGGGGTCACCCCGCAGAGAGAGGGGCGGGGGGGTCACCCCGCAGACAGGGCGCTGGGTGCAGCGAGAGGCTCCGAGCCATCTCCTTCTGCGCCCTGTTTCTGCCCCATGCGACCCCCCTGGGGCTCCCCAGCGAAGGAGGAGCCCTGCGAGGGCAGGACCGGACCCCCCACACGCACCCCCCACCCCAGCCCTGCCGGGGGCTGCCCAGCGCGGGCGCTCCCCCACGCACTCCGGAGACCTCCCGAAGTTGCCTCCTCAGATTTTGCGTTATTTAACCCACGCGTCGGCACTCACCCCAGCGGTGACGGAGCCCGCGGTCCCCGTCCCCAAACCCCCGCCACCCCGTCCCTGTCCCCAAGCCCCCGCGCATTGAAATGCGGACAGGGAAGCCGAGAACTGTAAAGCATCTCAACAATAGCTCTCCCGGCTCTGCCGCGCATTTGCAGTCAGATCGAGCCCACCCAGGGTGAAAACAAGGATAAATACGGACCCAAACCTGCTCCGTTCAAGGCTTACCCTGCGTATTTATATTCCAGACCCCACACGCTATCTAAACACCGCTCTACATTGCGGCCGCGGTTCAGCTTTACCGAGCCTCGGCAGCACCTTACCTTGTCTCCCGGCTGCTCCCTGTGCAAAACCAGCAGCCGCCGTCAGCCCCGGCGCGGGGAGGGGGCGCGGGGGGGGGCGCGGGGGGATGCGGAGCGGCGCGGAGCAGCGCGGAGCCCCAGCCCGCAGCCGCAGCTCCCGCGTCCCCGGGTGCCGCGGAGCCTGCGCCTGGCGCTGCGCAGCCCCTGCCGGGGGGGGGGGGGGGGGGGGGGGTGTCCCGCTGCCCGGCCCTACCGACCCCCCCCGCGGGCAGGGAGCACAGCCGGCGCGGCTCGGGGGTCTCTCCGGAGCTGGGAACGGGGCCGGGTCCCTTCAGGGGGGGGGAAGGAAGGAAGGAAGGAATCCGCGGCTGCAGGGCGGGGGTTATGCACTCGGGGGGGGGGCTTCAGGAGCGGGGCTTCAGGAGCGGCCCCGGGGCAATTATCCCCCAGGATCGTGCCCATTAAACCTGCCTGGGGATTTTAGGGTGAAAGGGCTGTTTTCTGAAAAAATAACTAGAAGAGGGAGCATCCCCCTTGGCGTTCAGCTTTGAAAGCAGCCTAGGGTCTTCCCTGTGAGCCCCTTCCTCTGTTACAGCTGAATTAAAAACAGACACAGGCTGGAGCAGACAAAGAGAGAGCTTCCAGGGCCAAAATCTGGACTCACTGAAAGGAAAGGCAAAATTTCCACTCCTACTGTTGGGTCCATCCTTTCTAACTCGGGGGGCATCTACCCCAGCCCCCCACTGCTGTCACCCAGCAGAGCCCGAAGGACGAGCCTGGACCACGGAGGTCAGCCCCGTCGTCACAAGCTGCATGGCTTTGGTCGCACCAGTTGCCAAAGAGATTCAGCAAAACCCATGCAATTCCCCTTTCTGGCAGCGCTGGAACCTGTTTAACAGCATTAAAGATCAAAATAGGTGATTTCAGCTACCGACACCGCTCAGGGCTGAGCTGAGCACCCCACACTGCTGGGTGAAACCAACCTGGCTCACTGAAAAGCTGTAGAACCCCTTCTCTCTCCTTTCTACAAAGTGCTGCTCAGCTGGGACCAATGAGTACATTAATTCATCTAAGTAATAAAAGTAATAAAATACACCTGTTGCATTAACCCTTCCAGCAGATCAGCCATCCTCTTGCTCAGCTGTGTCACTACCATTATGCAAGGAAAAAGCAGCAAGTGCACAGAGACAGCGATCCGATTAATGCGACAGATAAATAATGTGACAGCCTGAAATGCCACAGATCACCCTGGTGTCAGCGTGCCACCCGCAGCATGAAAACATCGCCAAGCTGAAGCCTCTGCAGCAACATGTCATGGCCGAGGCGAGCGTCGGCGCGGGGGGGTGGGCACGGCTTGCCCCGTCCCTCGCCCGGCACGGGGACACGCCAGGCCGGGAGGCTGCAGGACACCTTGCTGCTGCCAGCAGCAAACGAGGGGCTTAAACACCGTAACGTGTCCAGGACGGGGCTTCCTCCTCGCCCCCGTGCCCCGGAGCAGCTGCGAGAGCAGACGGCTGCTCTCCTGTCTGCGGCGGAGTCAGAGTTTGGCAAAGCCGGGACCTGCTGAGCTGGAGTTGGCGTTGGGCTGCCCTGGGTGACAGCCCCAGCTGCCACCACGGGAAGGCTTCATCCCCTGAGGAGGGATGTGGGTGCCATCCCTAACCGGCCACCGACGTCCCACACGCTCTGCCAGACCTCTCCAGGTAACTTGCCAGCCCACTGGGAAATCAAATGAATCCACTGGAATTAACCCCAGTGGTACTCAGCATTAATTATAAATGATGTTACACACATTTAAGTTCCACATGCTGCATGATATATGTACATCAGGGGTGAGATTAACGCAGCCTTTGATAGCAATTTGCAAAAATTAGTTAAAATGGACAACCAGCCTGGTAATGTCAGTTTTTGGAAACCCTCTCCGGCGGCAGGCAGAGGAATCACTGTCTTGGGAAGCGGCTGGCCGCGGTGCACCATGGCTCCCGCCAAGGAAAACGAGGCACCCTCCTCCTGTGCCCACAAATCTCTGCTAGCTGGGGGTGTCACCCCCCCCTCTCCGCCCTCCCCACCCAGCCTGGGGGCTCTGCAGCACCATCCCCCCCCCGAGACCCCTCACCCTGCGGGGAGCCTCCGAGAGCACCCGCAGCCCTTCCTCGTCCTGGGGAGGGGCTCAGCCCAGGCAGCCCCTGCCCCCGGCAGCGAGCCGTGCGTTTCGGACACCCCCTCCCTCCCTCCCGCTGCTATTCTGGTACATGCGATTCCAGGGAGATAAATACTTCAGGGCTTTAAGGGCTCTCAGAGCAAAACTGCTGCTGAAATAAAGAGGGAAAAGCTTTTAGCCGTGCAGCCACATGGGGACTCGGGGTGTTTCAGTGCTCTTAGCAGGCAGAAAAACAGACACTGTGCTATATGTGTCTTGGGGCCCGCAAGGCTTTTATGTTAATGGAATTTTATCAGGAAACACTGGGATCCGAGCGGATGGCGATGCATACGCATCAGCAGGGAGGGCCAGGGCACAGGCCCAGGACGTGGCTCCAACACACGTTGTCAATGAGCTGTGAAGGGGAGAGTTTAAGCACCAAATGAAATCAGGGTATCAGAACAAATATTTTCCAGAGATCACTTACGGCTGGGAGATACGCAGCCCCTGGCTCCCAAGTTATTTTTTAAGTAAATCTCAAGTGTGCTACATGCGTAAGGCAGGTCCTCAAAAGATTGTGTGCTTGACAGAAAGCATGGGGGTCTTGAAAATAAAAGCTCGGGGAGGCAAGCATGGGGGTCTTGAAAATAAAAGCTCGGGGAGGCAGTCAGCAATTTGTCCTTTCCACTGTTTAAACCAGAGGGGTGCTCAGGTGATGTTTGCAGCTCCCGGCTGCAACCCCTCCATCTGCAGCCTTGCTTTAAAGCGAAACCCAAGAGCTCGGATACTCACGGGGCTCCAGAGACAGGCCGAGGCTCAGGAGACTCATGTCAAGACCACGAGGGCAGAGCGGGTGGCTGGCAGCACAGGGGACGTGCCAGTGCTCCCGCGGCCCCCGGCCCTGTCCCCACTGGCCCCCCCTTACCTGCTGGGCGAGCCCAGGTCTGCCCGGCTGACGATGCAGTGCTGGTGGGGCGAGTACAGCCAGTGGAAAGCCGTCAGCGTCCTCTCCTCGATCCGAAAGCGGCCTTCTCGCACGTACCTAAAAATAACAGCGAGAAAGACTGAAATATTTATTAGCGCAGGACTGTGGGGCGGGAGCTGCAGGACGCGGCGAGCGGAGCGGCTGGCTCAGCAGCGCTGCTTGGAGCCGCGAGCCCAGCACCGCCACCAACGTGCTCCTCGGCGGGAGCGGCAAATCGGCGCTACAGCCCCGTCCGTGCACCCCTGCGCTGCCCCCGTCCTTCCCTGCCCGTCGGCTGACGCTCCCACAGGCACATGGCCATGGCTGGGACGGGGCACCCCTTCAAGGGAGTCCCCCGGGGGGGGACACGGTGGCCCCCCGGCCACCCTTGCTCCCTGCCACCGCTGCCACCAGTGTCCCCATCACCCTGGGGCACAGCCACCAGCTCCCCCTCAGCCCCAGCACCAGCACTACCACCAGCTGCAAGAGCAGGCTAATGCCTCTCTAACATCATTTCAGATGTCAAGACAGATGTTGAGGCTTATTAAGTAATATTCAAATGATGAATCGATGTTTTTTTTATTTTTATTAGAGAAATACAGATTCTCTGTTACAAGAGCAAAATGTCAGTAACTGGAGTTGTTCCCATCTTTTAGAACACAATCCTGCCGCCTGCCTCCATCCCAACAACCAGCTGCACTTTGCACACCCTCCTCTGAACATGAAATTTCATCAGAGAGCGATTAATTATTTAAAGCCCCTGTAGTACTGGTTGGAGATGCACACACAGCCACGGCATCCACGAAAGCCCAGCCAAGGCTGGGGCGAGCTCGCGGTCCTCTCCGGTGTGCGGATGCTCTGGGCGGTGCGTTCCCAGCACCAGCCGCAGGGATCCGGCCGTGCAGCCTGGCGGGGGCCGAGGGGATGCACCACGGTGCTGTGGGAGCAGGGCCACGGCTGCTGGGCTCTGCCGGACCCCAGCCAGCCCAGCCCGGGGCCACGGGGTCCCACCGGGGCCGGGGGCAGCGGCAGCGCCGGGGTGGGGATCTCCCGCTCTCAGCAACAGCAAAGCTGAAACCTGGAGCGTCCCCGGTACAGGCTGACCTGCTAATTTTCTTGGTAGAAGCAATCAAGCACATTGCAGCCCCAGTGCTCCCCTGCAGCTCTCGCATACCATAACACTGCACAAAGTAGTGGCAGGCAAGCCAGAACGTCTTTTGAGAAGGAAGGGGGGGGTGAGCAGCAGGGACGGCAGCACCCCCAGGCCAAGGAGCCTCTGTAACAGGCTGGGTCTAAGGGTGCAAGAAAAAAAGAGCCCTAGAATCCTGAGGAGGTGAAAAAAAGAAAGGGGAAAAAAGCTTCACAAGCTTAGGGTAATCCTCTGGTGATTTCCAGCCTGGCTGTTCTCCCAGGTTTGTGGGGATCCCACCCGCACCCCGGAGCCCCAGCTCCCAGCCTGGCCCTGCTCCGCGCTGACATCAGCAGCACCGCGCCGCAACCGGAGTCACCCCAGCCACAGCCTGGCATCGCTGCAGCGCCCTGCTCAAAAGTCACAAGCTTTGGACGTCACAAACTGCACAATTAAAAATAAAAAAAAAAAAAAAGTACAGAGAAAGCTTGTTTCCAATGTCAGCCCGTCCCAGCGGCTCCGGTCACCGCAAGCGCCCCGTCCCTGGCAGGACGAAGCGGGTCCCCATGCTCCAAAGCCCGGAGCAGCCTCAGCACCCCCTCACCCCCACGAGAAGAGCCGGGGTGCCCCCACAGCATCCCGCACGCGTCCCACAGACTTCCCGCGGGCAGCACAAGACCCAAACACGCCCGGGACCAGGACGCTGCTGCTCCCCGCGCTCCCCCCGTGCGGGGCTGAGCCATTTCCCAGAATTGGGATCTTGCTTTGGGATCCGACTCTTCTACCTCTACTGGACCCCAAATGCCAGGGACCCCCCCTCGCAGCGGCTGCAGCCCCAAACCGCCCCCCTCCCTGCCTGTGGACGTGCCCCCCCCCCTCCGCGGCTGGAGCAGCCGCCCCGCTGAGACCCCCCCAGACCCTACGCCCAGGACCAAGCTGCGGCCCCCGGAGTGCCCCACAGGGCCCCGGGGTGCGGGGGGCTAAATCCCGTGCGTCCCCTCGCACCCCCCCGAGCCCTCCCCGGCCGGGACTCCCCTCCTCTCCCGGCTCAGCAGCCGGGACTCCCCCCGGGCTGGGCGCACCCCCCACCCCGCCCCTCCCCACCCCAAAGCCGGGACCCCATTGCAAACTTACCCCCCCGCCCCCCGGCCGCCCGCTGGGGTCCCCCCTCCCCGAGCCTGCCGGGACCGCCCGTCCCAGCCCGTCCCAGCCCCCGGGGCTCCCCCCGGCCCCCCCACTCACCAGCGCACCAGCTCCCAGCGCCGCTCTCCCGCCGCCTTGCCCGAGGCCATGCCGGGGCCGGGCAGCTGCCGCAGGGCGGGCGGTGCCGGAGGGGAGCGGGGGGAGCCCCGCCGGCAAATCCCCCCCCCCCCCCCCCCGCTACCAACCGGCCCGGCCCGGCAGCGGCGGAGCGCGACACCGGCCCCCGCGGGGCTGCGCCGGCTCTGCGCGCTCCCGCCTCCGCCGGCACCCGGGGGGGGACCCGGCCCGGCGGGGGGGGCACATCACCGGCCCCTGTTATGTAAAGCCTTACGCAATGCCCGCTTCCCCCCCCAGGGCAGCCCCGAAGGTCGCGGGGGTGATGGGCGCAGGGGTACAGGGGTGATGGGTGCAGGGGTGATGGGGTGAGGAGGTGATGGGCGCAGGGGTACAGGGGTGATGGGTGCAGGGGTGATGGGGTGAGGAGGTGATGGGTGAAGGGGTACAGGGGTGATGGGTGCAGGGGTGATGGGGTGAGGAGGTGGTGGCATGATGGGTTCAGGGGTGATGTGTGTGGGGGTGATGGGGCGGTGAGTACAGGGGTGATGGGGTGATGGGTGCTGGGGGGCGGGGGTGACGGGGTGCACACCAACACCTCATCTCCAGCCCCGCTCTGCAGACCTCACTGTGGGATCAGAGTCTCCCACCCATAGCTGGATCCCACCAGTCTCTCCAAGGAAATCGCATGTTTTTCCAGCCTCTTGGAGCAAGTCTGAGCCAAGTATCACAAAGTCCCTCGGGAACAGTCACTGGTGGAAATAACCACAGAAATGGGCTCCTGCCAGGCAGGGTCCCCCACCCAGCCGGAGCCCCCCGCAGTCACGCCGTCCCCCTCGCAGCGGAGGTACATGCCCGCACCAGCGCCGGCTGGGGGGCTGGAACCCACCCCTTGGACCCTGGTTCTGTCACCGGTCCTTGCTCATCCTTGAAAACAAACAACCCAGCAGAAGTTTTGCCTGTGTGAGGTCTGGGAATGCTGAGTGAAAATCACTCTCGCATAGATTCAGAGCTGAAACCTGCTGGGCCGGAGCTTCCCCTCCCGGTCCCCGGGAGCTGCTGGTGTCTTTGGTTACGGATGGCCCATAGTGCTCAGGAAACAAGCTGTCAGCGTGTCTAGACATTATTTCAAGGAGCTCAAAATCACACTAAGTGATGCCCTGGCCCTAAATCCCAACTTTTCTGTCCTTTGAGAACTTAATTTCACAACTCAGCAACCCTCGGTGTTGCACCCACAGCCCAACAGCTTCATTTAAGTTAAATGACATGGGCTACTCAAGTCAATATCTGTTATTGGGAACTCTGGAGTGCCACTCTTGCGGGACCCAAACACATCTGAAAGGCCTTGATGCCGTCTGGGCTGCCCCTCGCTGGGAAGCAGAGGGGTGCTTTGCCACGTCGACTGGAGAGGCCGTGCCTTGCTCAGGGTCACGGAAGGGGAGCTCAGCCGGGGGTCTCCCAAATTCTGGGCAGCGTTGGACGCACTGGAGGAGCCTCTCACCAGCCGAAGGCCCCTGCCCAGAGAGGTGGTGCCTGTACACCGGCGTGGCAGCCGGCAGCCCACCCTGCCACAGGCGCTGGTAGCTGTGCTCTCAGCTGGATGCTTCAGCTGAAATCATGACCAGGAAATTGTTGATACATCATATTTTAACGAGTCGGGCAGTAAGTGAGCTGGTCCCTCAGCAAGGCCTTGTTACCAGCTGCCTGCAGCCGCTGGCACCAGCTCTGCCTGGGCTGATGTTGATCATCGTCAGATTCGGAGCCAAGGGCAGATAAAAAAAATCCGATCCCTGCTCTGCGGAGCCTGAGAGTCGTGCTGAATTTCACACTTGTAAGCACAGATTGAGTCTCGGTCCTGACGGCCGCGTCTGCAGTGCTTGCAGGCAGGGGGGAGCGGCGATGGGACCCCCTGGGAATGCGGGGCCAGAGGAGCGGGTGCAGGAGGGCCCAACGCTCTCCCTGCTGCCCCTGGACCCCAGGAACCCCTGTTTCAGCACACATATGTTTTTGCAGGCCTGTGAGATCTACAGAATAAAACTAAATTTTATTTAAAAAAAAAATTTTCAAAACTCTAAAATAATGAGAACTTTTAAACACTGGAGTGTTCACATGGCACATACACGCTAGCGCAGCCGGCTCCTTTCCCGTGCCCCTCCGTGCTGCCAGCGCGGTGCTGAGCCGGGCTGGGCATCCCTCCGGGCCAGCACGCCAGAGCCGGGTGGCCAGACTGGGCCAGTTGTTTCCCAGAGGTTTGCCAGCTCAGGCGGGTGCCACGGGGCCACCACGCTCCCTGGTCCCCTTCCCCCCGCACCGCTGTGGCACGCTGCAGCCCTCGGCTGGGCAGAGCAGCGGCTCTCTGAAGAAGGACAAATTGCATTGCTTAGCTCAAGCAAATATCCTTGCAAGTCTGTTATTTTCAAGTCCCTGTGGAAATGTTAAGCTAATGTTAAATTTATCAAAACCTTCTGGCTTTTAGCCCTCCATCACTTTAAGGAGCTTCTTATTAGGTTCTTCAAAGCAATTAGAAGACACGCGCACACTACATTTCAATTAGGTTGAAAAATAATATTTGAAGTGAAGTTAAACTCATTTTTAAATTAAATGCCAAAATTCCCCTAGTGATTAACTCGGGGGGAAGCAGCGGGCTAGGAGCGCTCTGTGCAGTCAGCGGGAGGGCGCGGGTGCCCGCTCCCTTTGTGGCTGTTGTCCCCTGGCACCGGGCAGCCCTGGCGCGAGCGGGTCCCACCGCACACGAGGTGTTTAACCCCAGCCGAAGCAGCGGAGAGGCCCGCAGCCCTCAGCTCCTCCTGCAGCCGGAGCAGAGCGGGCTGGGGGCTCAGGACCCGCCTGAATTGCTGCCCGGGTGCTTTATTCCTTTCCACTGGCTGCCAGCGGCGTGCGAGGCAGCTGCCGCCTTTCCGTGCCGTTCCGTTGCACGGCTGAGCCACTGGAGGTGATTAAAGAACGCATAGAGGTGGCACTCAGGGACGTGCTTCAGCAGTGGCCTCGGCAGCGCCGGGCTAACGGTTGGGCGTGATGAGCTTGAAGGTCTTTCCCAACCTAAACGATCCTGTGGCTCTGTGCCCTCCCCGGGCAAACGTCTCGGCTAAGGTGGGATCAAACCAGTGTCACGGACAGGCCCCCAGCAAGACGGCAGCTCACAGCACAGCTTTGCTTATGCTGCCCTCCCCCTGCAGCTGCCCTCTCATGGCCATGGGCCCCAGACCCCCCACAGCCCCCCCATAGTCCCCCCACAGCTGCCCTTTCATGGCCATGGCCCTCAGACCCTCCACAGCCCCCCCATAGTCCCCCCACAGCTGCCCTTTCATGGCCATGGCCCCCAGACCCTCCACAGCCTCCCATGGCCCCCCCACAAACACCCTCTCACTGCCATAGCTCCCAGACCCCCCACAGCCCCTCCGTAGTCCCCCCACAGCTGCCCTTTCATGGCCATGGCGCCCAGACCCCTCACAGCCCCCAGACCCCTCACAGCCCCCAGACCCCTCACAGCCCCCCACAACCCCCCCACAGCTGCCCTTTCATGGCCATGGCCCACAGCCCCCCCACAGCCCCCCACAGCTGCCCCACAGCCCCCAGCCCCCCAGCTGCCCCCCACCTCTCCAAAGCACCAGGGTTGCTGCCCGCACCCTGCCCGCACCGCTGCCGCAGGGGTCGGTGTCGGTGCAGAGGTGCCAGCCCCGGGCCCATCCCGCACTCCCCCCCTTGTCGGGCAGAGCCGCCCCCCCCAGCCCCCCCCCCAGCCGCTGCCCCTCCACCCTCCATGGGGCAAAGCCACGTCCCTGCACCGGCACCCGGGGCCGAGGCGCTGGGGTGGGCCCTGCCGCTTCAGCGCTGCCTGCCCCCCCGGGCACACGGCGGGCGGGGGCTCCCGGTGCCAGTCTCCCAGCGGGTGAAGGAGCAGGCGGCTCTGCCCGACAGCCTCCGCAGCTCAGGGACCCCACGGCTCCCGCTGAGGCTGAAATGGCATTCCCGCCATTTGGGGCTCGTTACGTTGATCACAAACCACCCCGGGCCCGTGGGAGCAGCGGTTCCCATCCCTCGGAGCAAGGGGGGAGCGGGGAAGGGTCGCAGCGTAACCGCAGTGCGGGACGTCGCGGCTGCCGGGGGCATTAGCCAAGGGACTGCCAGGTCACGTCCCAGCCAAAGACGCCGAGAGCAGTTCTCGGGGCAAAAAGCCACCAGTGAAACCAGTTCACCGTGGAACGGCGGGTGCAAGGCATGCGCTGTGCCCCGCCGCCTTCCCCCGCAGCACGCCCTACCCGGGAGCCCCGGCCCCGTCTGCGGAGGCAGCTCCCCGGCCCCGTGTCCCCGACCTTGGCCGTTCGCAGGCTTTGTCCTCTGTTCAGCACAAACCCAGCAAAAACAGCACAAACCTGGTGAAGCACGATGCACCCGGAAACCACCGCTCCCTCTCCCCCCCCCCCGCCTGTAATTCACTGCTACTCAAGTTTGCACATGAGTTAGGGGAAGACACAATGAGACATTAAAAACAGCATCCCCCCCCCCCCCCTACAAACACAGCGAACCGCACCCAGAGGGACAAATGACACCTCGGCAAGCGCCGACCTGCTGGTTACAAAGGGGTGAGAGGACCTCCCCAGGAGAAAACACTTCTCTGAATAAGAAGGTCTGCACTCTCCTGCCCCACACAGAAATCCTTCACCTCTTAACAGCTTCCCATTGCCAGAACTCTTTTTTTTTTTTTTCTGATAAAACAGGCTGAGGGGAGGCCCACAGGTGTCAGAGTGACTGGAGGAGCACTAGGAAGCACCGAAGCTCTTGACTCCACTGGCTGGAGCCATAAGCAGAGGTGTCTGGATAATTCACTGCAAATCAGAAGCTTGTGTGTGCACTTGCAGACCTTCGGACCTCACTGGTCACCTTTTGTCTCGATTTAATGATTTCGCTTTCCGTGTGAATTAAATTCACTCTCCACAGAAGAGCCCTGATCCCAAGCCCAGCCTTCCCCTGCTCGATCAGCCAGCACCAAGCCAGGCTGTGCTTTGCAGCAGGTAAGGATCCAGTTTTTGGCTGTTACAGCACAGGGATGTTACAACCCACCCATCCCCCCCGGAGCACGCTCTCCTCTGCTCAGCCTCCTGCAGGGCTCTTTCCCACGGCATACCCCTGATCGCTTTGTGTGGCACAGGCACTCAGTCAGACCTTGGAAACACCCAAGGCGGGGACAGGACATGGGATGCCCAAACGAT